TACTTTTGTATTGGCGAAGAACCGAAGCTCTCAATATTTCTGGCCAAAACTAATGTCTTTGTTTTTCATTAGCACCTTCAATTGAAAGTGAAGCATATCAACAAAACTCTCAATTCAATTGATAGAAAACTCGAATTCGATCGCCATTCTTCTCTCTTCTAAATCCGCAACACAGAGTCCTTAAAAGTTGCATGATTTGTCTCCTCTCTCACTATCGCGACAACATCAAACATTCGAATCCCCCAAATTAAGGGTTTAAGGCTTTAAGCAAAAACCCCTCCCGAGTTCATGCCCAAATCCCCATTCCCAATCCGTATCAGCTTCTTCAGCTACTTCTTCAACGAAAGTCGTCTCCTTTCGAGTAACCCACTTAACCTCTCTTATTCTGTTTCAGTTTCTCCGAGGAAATCCATGGAAGCCGAACAAGTTGTTTCACCATTAGAGGAAGCTCCCATATCGGAGAAGATGTTTAAATCAGCTCCCAAAATGGGTTCTTACAAGTTAGGTGATTCCACTTTGTCTTCAATGATTGAGAATTATGCAAATTCAGGTGATTTTGCTTCTGTGGAGAATCTATTGAGTCGAATTAGATTAGAGAACAGAACGATTAAAGAATATAGCTTTATAGTTGTGTTTAGAGCTTATGGGAAATCACATTTGCCTGAGAAAGCTGTAGACTTGTTTCATAGAATGGTCAATGAGTTTCGGTGTAAACGTACTGTTAAGTCCTTTAACTCTGTGTTGAATGTGATTATAAAGGAAGGTCTTTATCATCGAGGATTGGAGTTTTATGATTATGTTGTGAATTCCAACATGAACATGAACATTTCTCCGAATGGATTGAGTTTTAATTTGGTTATTAAGGCTCTGTGTAAGTTGGGATTCGTGGATCGAGCGATTGAGGTCTTTAGGGAAATGCCGGAGAGAAAGTGTTTGCCTGATGGGTATACGTATTGTACGTTGATGGATGGGTTGTGTAAGGAGGAAAGGATCGATGAAGCGGTTTTACTGTTGGACGAGATGCAGAGCGAGGGTTGCTCACCTAGTCCGGTTACATATAACGTGTTGATCGATGGATTGTGCAAGAAAGGGGATTTGACAAGGGTGACAAAGCTTGTGGATAATATGTTTCTCAAGGGATGTGTTCCTACTGAGGTAACTTATAATACGCTTATTCACGGTCTATGTCTCAAGGGGAAATTGGATAAAGCTGTTAGTCTCTTAGAGAGGATGGTGTCGAGCAAATGCATGCCGAATGATGTCACATATGGAACACTCATTAATGGGTTGGTAAAGCAAAGACGAGCAGCGGATGCGGTTAAGTTGCTAATGTCTATGGAAGAAAGAGGGTATTGTTTGAATCAGCATGTTTATTCGATCCTTATAAGCGGCTTGTTTAAGGAAGGAAAAGCCGAGGAAGCTATGGCCTTGTGGAAGAAAATGGCGGAGAAAGGTTGTAAACCCAATATTGTTGTGTACAGTACTCTAGTGGATGGTTTATGTCGCGAAGGAAAACCAAATGAAGCGAAAGAAATACTTAATGAAATGATAAGTAATGGCTGCTTGCCCAATGTGTATACGTACAGCTCTCTGATGAAAGGATTTTTCAAAACTGGTCTTAGCGAAGAGGCGATTCAAGTATGGCGAGACATGGATAAAACTGAATGTTCTCGAAATGGGGTTTGTTATAGCGTTTTGATCGATGGTCTTTGTGGGGTTGGGAGGGTTAAGGAGGCTATGATGGTTTGGTCAAAGATGCTCACTATCGGGATCAAACCTGATACGGTAGCATATAGTTCAATGATTAAAGGTCTTTGTGGTATCGGCTCGATGGATGCGGCATTAAGACTTTATTATGAGATGTTATGCCAAGAGGAACCCAAGTCACAACCTGATGTTGTTACTTATAATATACTTCTAGATGGCTTATGTATGCAGAAAGATGTCTCTAGAGCAGTTGATCTCTTCAACTGTATGTTAGATAGAGGCTGTGATCCCGATGTTATTACATGTAACACGTTTTTGAAAACTTTGAGTAGCAAAGAAGGGAGGAGTTTTCTAGAAGAGCTTGTTGTGAGGCTCTTAAAGCGCCAGAGAGTATCGGGCGCTTGTAAGATTGTGGAAGTAATGCTTGGTAAGTATCTGACACCGAAGGCTTCCACTTGGGCGATGATTGTTCCAGAGATTTGTAAACCGAAGAAGATCAATGCCGCCATTGATAAATGCTGGAAGAACTTGTGTACTTGAACATTACTGGAGCATTTTCGTGCAGACCGCGCGCTCCTCAAAAGCCTACATGCTTGGAACGCTTTCGCTTCTGGTGTTGTGGACCAGAAATGCTTCCGAAAAACAGGTAGATTGATAATCCAAATTTGTAATTGAAATATCTGAATACATGCCCATTGCTATGGTATGTTATGTTTCAGACATGTTTGATTCAAGATCTTTGTCATGTTTAATTTAACTTTTCTTTTGCAGCTCCAACTCCTAAAGGAAAGATCTTTGAAGTCTGATTGGTCTCTCCATGGTTCGACCTCTCAGGTAATAGTATCTTCTTCTTCATAGGTGGCTAAATTTCGAGCTCCTTAGGAAAAGAGAAGTCTGTGAAAAACATTCCATAACCGAAGCCTTGATTATCTGATGCTCTCTGAAATCCTTGTCTCGTCCTCAAGTGTTCTGAGATTACCTTGAACTATTATAAGACTTATAGAGAGGGTTTATATTGATCTGTGTTTTTCAATCAGTTCGAATTGGTAATCCGAAAAACTTCTTCGATTTATTTTTAAACACGATTTTTGTGGTCCTGCTTATACTTTGATCACGCAAATAGTCCAAGAAATTGATCTTACACCAAACGGAAGATGACAAGCAGTTCCCTTGCCTAAACATAAGAGAGAGAGCAAAGAAATGAAAAACGCAGATCGAGCAATGAGCTCGTCTGGTCAGTTTCTAACTTGCATTAATAACTCTTGAGAGGTCACCACTTTCAAAGAAGGATTTGCGAAGAGTCTCGACGCATCCTTCAGCTACTAGGAGGGTTTCGATTTAGGTATAAATTCTCTCAATTTTGTGTCTTCACATTTCCTTTATTTCAATGTTGGTCTAAGATCAAACACTTTCAAAAGAAAAATGATAATCAACGAGCTTAAACTTTATTTAGACTT